AAGCACTGTCACGTGACACCCCTTTCCCCTTCCTAAATCTGCTCCAGAATAGGAGGGCCATGGCACCCAGCTCAGTTGGAAAGGCCTAACCTGATATGAGAAGTATGATTAAGCTCGCTGACTAGGGTTGACATCAAAATCTAGTCTTCGAGACCCCTTAACATAAGAAAGTCATGGAGTGCATAAGCCCCTATGGATACAAGGATGACTTTCTTGTGGTAATTATTGCAAATGAGCAAGTAGGGGGCGGCAACTAAAGAGGTATCGAGATTGACCGCAAAGGGGTTACTTATTCATGTATTATTTATTCCACTTTCTCTTTTGTAAAAAAATATACATAAATTTCCTCATAACTTACACATGTATTAGTCATGCGGATTTCTAAATTGCAAACCAAACACTTTATATTTTCATGTGAAAGTTAAATATGAGGAGGTTATTGGTGCGTATTCATCTAAAATAAGAGAGTTGAGCATGATCATCTTTGATTTGGTAAGGGAAGGGCTAGACTTGGAGGAAGACTACTTTGGCAAAGAACATGAGCAGAAAATGATTGTCCATCACTTTCCAGTATGCCCAGATCCAAGTTCAACCTTGGGAATGGATGGACATTGTGATCCTAATCTCATAACCATTTACCAACAACAAGTATATGGCCTTCAAAATACTGAAGAATGAGGAATGGATTGGTGTGGAACCTCTACCTCATGCATTTGTTGTCAATTTCGGTCTCCCAATAATGGTAATATTTCTTTTAACTTTCATTTATGAATGATACATAGACGTCCTTTAATTTGACTTCAGCTGACATCTATGCCCTCCAATTTTTGGTGTGCAGAAGTAAACACTTAAACTTGTAAAAAATTAAACAAGTAGACAAATTAGACGTGTCCTATGTGACATAATACATGTAGGACTCCACGTAGAATACAAAATTGTCATATATGATGTCATGTAGGACGAAGGAGTCTATTTTTTCAATTTTATACAAGTTTAAGTGTCTACTTGTTAACACATAATGGTAAAGGTCACAGTTGTTAGATGAAGCCAAGTTAAAGGTCATGTTTATGTATCATGCCTTTTATTTTATGGTATAATACATTAATGTGACCTATCATCTGACATCTATGCCCTTTAACTTTAGGTGAGCAAATGTAGATACTTAAACATAGAGTTGAACAATAGATACACATGTCCTACTTGTATTACGCCACATAAGATTGCGTGTGTCTATTTGTTAACTTTATACAACTTTAAGTGTCTACTTGTCTAAATCCAAAGTAGGAGGGCATAAATAACAGTTGATGCCAAGTTAAAGAGCTTATTTATGTATCATGCCTTTATTTATTCCATTTTGTTTCATTTTATGTGTCCTTGTTAATTTGAATGAGTATGAAATTTTAAATTAATTGTAAAATTGGTTTTGAATCTATATTTCTTAAACTAAAGGTATATATAACATTGACATAGTACAAAACGGTGCCTTTTAATTTGGCCTGTCTGGTAATTATTTCCTTCAATTTTGGGTGTGCACAAGTACACTTAAACTTGTATAGAGTTGAACAAGTAAACATACACGTCCTACTTGCGTCCTACGTGACAATTTACATCCTACATGTCATCCTATGTGGCGTCCTACATGTATGATGCCACATAGACATGTGTCTCTACTAATTCAACTCTATATAAATTTAAATGTTTACTAGTATACCCCCAAAATTGAAGGGCATAAATAACATATGAGGCTAAGTTAAAAGACATAATTATATTTCTTACTTGTAACATTATTTCCAAAAATCTTTTACGGTCTAAACATGTCATGTTGTTCACATAAAAAATTTTTAAAGGTGAAATGGGATGATTAATATTAAAAACTAACTAACTATAGGACCAAAGTGAACAACAAATAAAAATAAAAATTGTATGAATTGTCTATTGTTGTATGAATTGTCTATTGTTGTATAAATACAGGTAATGACCAATGGGAAGATGGAAAGTGTTGCACATCGATTGGTGCCAAATACAACTCAAACATGTACAGGCATTGGTACTTATTTTTGTCCAGCAAATATTGTTGAGCCTGCAAAATCATTTGTTGGTCCGGACAATCCTCCATTGTTTAAACCCTTCAAATGGGACACTGATTTTTTTCCACATTATGCCAACAAGAAATCAGTATACCACGCAGCATTGGAGCCTTTCAAAATCTATGCTTAAACATTTTAATTTCCACCAAAATAAGTGTTTTAAATTAATTTACAATTACTAAATGTAATTTGTTACCTAGGTTTGAATCGAGCTCGTTATTCATTCATGAATAAAAAACTTTTGATTCTAACCAATTTGTTTGTTGTATCTTGAGTTAAAAAAAAAGATAAATCAGGACTTTTGAAATTTGTAAGCATAAAATAACAAAATATTTGGATGGTGTGAAACTTTTAAGACTTGTTATTTTTAATGTTCCAAAATATTTACTCCTATATGACTGAAAGTACTTTTAAGACTTCACTTTTGGTCTGCCAATTGACATAATTCTCGGGCAAGAGTTCTTCCAGAAGTGTCACATGCTGATCAACTCTTACCACCAATCACTCTTGGTCATGGAACAAGGATCATGTATGGGCCCCTCAGTGGCGTAGCCAGGAATCTTATGAAGGGGGTCCAAACTTTAAATATTAATTTTTTTTAAAAAACGATGATTTATAGAGATTCTACTTTTAGTAATATTATGATATAATTTGGGAAATGGGTCTCTTATTTATAGAGAAAGAAAACATTATTCCAAAAGGAAAACCTATTAAAATTTAAGAAATCTTATTCCACAAAGGAAAAAGGTATTACAATATAAGGAAATCTTATTCCACAAGGAAAAGGTATTAAAATTTAAGGATATTTTTCAATTAAAACCTTATTCCAAAAGGAAAATGTATTAAAATTTTAAGAAAAATGTATTAAAATATAAGGAAATCTTATTCCACAAGGAAAAGGTATTAAAATTTAAGGATATTTTTCAATTAAAACCTTATTCCAAAAGGAAAATGTATTAAAATTTTAAGAAAAATGTATTAAAATATAAGGAAATCTTATTCCACAAAGAAAATGTATTAAAATTTAAGGAAATAATTCAATTTTAATTGAAAAAAAATATTTATTGGAGGTAAGATTCAAACTTGGGTCACTCAAGACAAGCGTGACAATATTAAAATCTTATGGGAGGTGAGTTTCGAACTTGGGTCACTCAATACAAGCATAACACTATTTACCACCAAGCTACTGAATATATATGTTAAACTTACACATGTTTATTTACTTACAAACTTCAAGAAGGCAAAATAATAATAGAAAAATGAAAACGCTCATGTGGGGAATCGAACTGCGGCAACGAGTGAACTTGTGACAACTCTACCCATCTCCTCTGCATATTACTTTGTTGTTTTAGGGTATCCAAAATACCGTATATACCAATATAAGTCAAAACTTTACGTGTATATATCGTATAATTTTTCGACGAATTGGACACCCTTGGGACAAGGTGGCTCCGCCCCTGGGGCCCCTAGTTAAGGTACCTAAGACAGAAGGACAATCTCAATTATCGCCATGTAGCTCGTGAGTCGTGACTGGCCTTAAAAAGGAGGAGTCAATGCTCATAGCGACCATTATGAGTGTGAGTAAAGACAATGGTTCTAAAGGGACTTTGCCACTATGCATAGAGAATTCTGGTTCTAGAACAGAACAAAGATGTGATGCATGAGGAGTTGCCAAACCACTTACATCCTAGGCACGAGGTGGATCATAAGATTGACGCCATCACCCCAACCCCTTTACAACATCCGTGATGGTATCAAGGATCTTATGCAACATACTGGAGAAGCAAACCGACTTATACAATTAGCTTCCCAAGGAAAAATGAGACGTTTCTTGGAAGAAGACGGACTATTGTTCACAACTGGTCGGAGGGTCTACATGCCCAAGTTTGAAACTATTAGGCATAAGATCATGTAGGAAAGTCATGGCACGTTGTAGGCTGGTCACCCGGGGAAGGTTGCATGCACAAGGGCATTGATAGAGTCAACGTAGTATTGGTCGCGCAGGATGAAAGACAATATCTGGAAGTTCATGCAGCAGCAATGCACCGCAGTGATTGCATCATCAGGCGACGGAGAGTGTCATGACCCCCCATGTCATCATTCTACTTAGGCACCATGGGGCATAAAGTTATCCATGTGGAAGCCTTACATAGCAAGAAGGCTAGTCCGGATTCCCATGGTAGATCCTAGAATTCCACATATTTGCAGGGAAGATCCTTGGAATCTTCTAGTTATGTAGAAGATTCTAGAAAAATGACTTTGTAAATATGTAGGGATTTAAGAAACAATTATTATTGACATATTATCCCCCAAGTAAGTAGTATAAATAGAGGGACACCAATTTGTAAAATAACCAAGTAAATCTTCCGAGTTTGAGTAATACAAAACCTTCTTAAGCAATTCTCTTATTTCTTCATTCCCTTTGCGATCTAGTGTAAAAAAGACTTATTTAAGCTTGTAAGATTGTAAAAGATTCGTGAGTGAGTTGTCAAGTACTGTACGGTGTGCTTAGTTGAAGTCTAAGAACGTGACACAATATTGTACATTTATATATAACATATGTGACAGCCTTGTCTTACAACGAATAACCTGTCGACATTTTTCGCAATCAAGGCCAATCAAAGCTAAAGTGCAATTGACATCCACAATTGCATAGGCAATTCAAAATTTGAAAATACAAAGATGCCACAAGAATAAAGGGATCTTCCCACAAGTAATTACACAAAGAAAACTGCCCCATGTGCGCGAAATGTACCACTATAACAAAAGATACTTTTAGTGGCATTTATTTAGTGGCAATAAGTAAATTGCCACTAATACATTATGTAATCTATACTATTCCCGGCATTTAAATTTAGCCAGTAAAAGAAGTACTTTTTAGTGACAGTTAAAAATAAAAAGTAATAGAATGAAAATCAATTGTAATTATTTTTACTTCCCCCAATTCCTTTTTACTTCGAGTTTTCCTCCATCTTCACCCTTCAACGAAATCAGCAGAACGACGATGGAAAACAACACGATGGAGATAGAAATTCACACAACTACAGTGGAGTTAGGCACACTAACAGTGTAATCCGGCACAACGGTGGTGGAGTTCAGCACAACGATAGTGAAATTCAGCACATCGGTGCTATTGATGAGAATTAAGAGGAATCAAAGCCACCGACGTCTCTTCACAAGCTCACCGTCAGCAGTCCGTATTCGTATAGGCAAATTCATCATCGCCATTGCCTCATATTCGATCAGATCGAATTTTAACGGTACGACGATGGCGTTGGTGACTACTAATATCCATTTTATTCAGTTGTTGGGTCATGTATATGAGTGTATGTTCTAGAGTTTTATTTGAACTGATGCATGTGTTTCTATATCACACCTGATCTTGTGTCCAATAAAATTGGTGCAGAATTGCAGATAGCAATCAAACTAGCTATTGTGGAGTTCGATTTTTGATCTCCTATTTGAAGGTAAACAACTAAACTTAGTAGTTAATTGAAACCTTATTCATTCATATAAAATTCAAATTTTTAGTTACTAGGCTAAATATTTGCGAGATCTCTGCATCCGAAATCAGGCTAGTGAATCAATAGAGTGTACTTTTACATTTTTATGCCTTGAACTTGAGACTTTGTGCACTTATGCAAAATCTGATATTCACGTTCCTAATGTACCTACAAACAATTGTGGTGTTCGGGTTCAAACTAGCGCAAGTAGCAGTCTGTAGTTCCTTTTGTATCAACAACGTTGTCTACATTCTAATTAGTTTTATTTGAGTGATGAGATTTGATCCAAACAAAGTGAGGATACGAGAACATATATCTCTTTAAGCTATGCAAATTTATTAAGTACTTAGTTCTGTTATATTTTTCAGTCAGGCAATTTTCAGAAGTCTCTGTATATCTTTATCTGTGAAATTGAATGTTCTTTATGAATGTATTTTTGTGTTTCTGTGCTTTGGGATTAGCAGACTGCGGCAATTGGTCATTTCTTTAAAGTTAAATGGAAATCAAGTTTTATCTGATTGCATAAGAGACTACAAATAGTTTGGCTGCTGAAGTGCATTGTGTTCAACCCCCCTATTTTTGTTTTACCTTTAGTGATATATACTGAATATATGGGTGGTATGGCACTAGATAATAGACATTTTCTATTTCTTTTGTGGGAAGGATGGGGTTTCTTTTTTATCCCAACATGATGTTATGATGTATTGTTATCATGCTCCATGTTCTTCGTCTTTATTTTTCTCGTGGCTGTGCTGTAGGATTATATCTTCATTCTGCCACCGAGACAAAGCTTTTTGTGGATACTTCAAGAGGAGAAACACTGCGCATCAATGTAATGTTACTCCCACCTTGAGGCTGAGTGATGTAATTATCCGAGTTTTTGAGGTTTTGAATATCTGAATGCTCAAAATCGTTTATTTTTACTCCCTTTTAGAACTTCAGTCTCTTCCACTATAGTATTGCATTGCATGGCCTGGAAAACTTGGGTGATTTCTGAGGATTGGAAGAAGCTGATCTGGATTTCTGAGGCGGTTATTGCAAAAGACTGATTGTAACATTGATTTGATCTAACATTGCAGTTTGATATCACCTTTCCAGCAATTCCATGTTCAATTCCCAGTGTTGATGTCATGGATATCAGTGGAGAGAAACATCTTGACATTGTATGTGCAGCAAACAGGTTATATTGTCCAGTTACTAAGTTCCTAGTTTTCCCCAACCCCACCTGATTTCATTCTCTTGAATGCTAGTTCTGTGTATAGAGTTAGAATCCTTAATTTTCCTTAGGATTATGGTTCTCATTGAGTTGTCAAGTTAAATGAGACTTGACCAGATAATCTATGTGGAATGATCCTCCTCACCCCGTCTTTAATTAATTATTGCTTTTCCTTTTAGTTCTTAACTTCAATTTTCAATGATTTTTAGGCATATGGCCTATATTATGGATACAAATGAAGAAGAGAGGGTGAAGGTATTGCTTTATTTATTACTTAAATTGGTATATTACCTCTTTTTTGGGGCTGGGATTGCGGAGGAGCTTACGAGTGATTGTGTGTTTCTTGGTTGCCACTTCCTTTTCAGGGAATAACAGTTGAAGTTGGAAGAGCACCTTTTGAAATAGAGACGACGAGATTTACAATTCTTGATGCCCTGGTAACCTTTTATCCTCATTCTTTCTCTGATTTACCTTGTACACGGGAGGAAAAGGTGTGAGTATTAAGTGACAAGTTTATGTGCACGAGAGGTGTTGTTTGCCCATGGTTTCGAATATCTATAGAAAGTTTTCCTTAATCTAAAGTTCTGAGTCTCTATACCATATTAGTGTTTTTGGTACCATCTATTTTCTATCATTTAACATTGTTGGAAGAAACAGTGCTTTAGTAAGGGAATGTCCTAGTGGTGACTGAAGTCGCATGTTCTTCCCATCTGTCCAAGCCTTGATGGACGGACGGAATACACATTACATGTGTTGGTGGGAGGTAGCAGGTACCTCATTTTATTAGCCTAGGTGTGTGCAAACTAGCCCGAACACCATAATTATTTAAAAAAACTAGCACAATTAATGTTCCCATATCTGTTGGCACTTTTACAAATTATCTTTTAAATGTTGAGCAAAAGTGAGACTCTGAAGATACTAAACATTGTTTAGATATCTGCTAACAAGCTTTCTGTTTGTTTATTTACTACTTGCTTGGCATATCATATGATCAGTTATTGTAGATACAAGGTTGTTTGTAGGTATGGTATTTCATGAATTCTATGAATTGGTTGCTACAGCTGAGATAAATTTGAGTGTGATTTGAAGTTTCATTTTGAGATAATATGGCATTAACCGGTCCCTCTTCTCGATTATGTTTTTCTAGTGTTGGCCTATCCTATCACTTTGTTTCTTATGCTAGTCTTGCACGGTTAGTTTTATAGACATCTAATCTGTGAAGCTTAACTCTGTGATCTTGCATGTCACATATTATCCAGTTAAACGTAGTGACACAATATACCTCTAGATCCGTTTATACCAATTTTTTAATCAACTAGAGTATTTTATCAAGAGGAACAAATTGATTTGTCCATACTAATATGTGAGACTGATAACTTTACTTTTTTTTTAGGTTAGTAGTGAGCATTCATTGACCAAGGAAATTGTTTGATATGCTAAAAAGTTTTCGAGAGCATGAGAAGAACTCTAAGTGGACAGAAATTCGAGGATTTGAATCCATAACCAGCCAAGGTGTCAAAGCTTTTAACTGAAATGAATTAGGAAATTTATAATTTGAAACAAGAGCCTGATGTTGGATCAAGACAGATCTATTCCAGTTGATGATGAAGTGTTAGCAGAAACAGAATAATTGGCACATACTGCAGATGCTCGTGACCCCGAAAGATGCCATAATTTATCTAGTGTAAATATTTATTGATCAATTTTTTTGTTTTTACATTGTTGAATGCATTCTTTTATTTTTTATAATTCATTTTTTTTACCATGGGAAGACAGAGAAGTGGATGTGTTGAGTTTGAATATTGTTAAGTGAATGACATTGTTTGAGTTTGGTAAGTTTGTTTATTATTATCTTTGAACTTATTTCTCTTGTGAATTTCATTTTTGTTGTTTTAAAAGTGTTTGACTAAATATGTGGATCAAGGCGAATTTTATTTGCCATGGCAAATGCCACTAAAACAAGTTTCCTTTACTGGTAATTGTTGTTTATTTACCGGCAATTACAAAAGCCACAAAATATGCTTGAGATTACATTTTCTAAGGTAGTTCTAATGGCAATAGTAATTGACTCTGAATAAATGCCGCAAAAAGTAATTACTTTTAGTGGCAATAATATTGGTCTTTACCAGCGCTCCATATAAATGCCGCTAAAGGCGTTAACGACATTGGATGCAATGACAATGACATTTGATTAAATGTCGCTAAATATTTTTGCGGCAATAAGTATTGCCGCTAAAAGGAAAATTTATTGCCGCTAAAGGCCTCTTTTGGTGTAGTGTGTGCTTATTGTTCGCGCCTAGGGTTGGAGACAAGGCCACTGTCGACTTGAACTTAGCTGCACATCACACTGCCATGCCACTGGTAATGCCTTTCCTGCGTCTTTCTTGGCCTTGCTAACTCTTGTTTAACTTGTGATATTCCTTGTCTTTCTTCTTATTTTGCTTTGCATTTACTTGTCCTTGCTATTAACTCATCTTGACTTGCCCAGATTTGATTCGACCTTGGCACTTGCCACTACCAAACGTTGTCTAGGGACCATCCCATGCGATGACGAACAGTCTGCCGACCTTGCTTATTTCCAACTTGGTAATGCCACCACACTGCCCACATGTTTGATTCATCCTGCACCTAGGCCCATGACAAAGTCATACATGCCAACCTTTTACCCCTACTGTTCCATCTACCGAGTTTAAAAGTCAGTACCCTAACACCAGGGATGTATATAGCACGGAAGGGGCAGGGGGGGAAGATTAAATTTTACCCTGCCCAGCCTCATCCTGCCTCGTTTATGCTTCATTTTTTTTTCCTTCATACTCTTTTTTGGCATTATTGTGTTTAATTCCTTGTAACTGTTTACATTTTTTAGTTGAACTTTATATCTTTCCCATCTTTGAGAAAATAGGAAAACATAACCATATGAAAAGTACTAAAATCAATTACTTCTAAGTTCTAACAACAAATTTTTTACCATTTGAATCATGTAAGAATAATCATTCATCATGAAAGTGGAACTGTGGCTTCTAAATTGTCCATCAAATAGTTATGGTCTTTCTTCAATACTCACCACCTATCCTGTCGCATCAATATTATTTAAATACATTAATCTTTCGCCGCCCTGTCTTGTACTTGCCCTGCTCTATTGCTATCTGTAAAATTCAACAAATTTTCTTCATTTATATGGCAAAATCTCAACACAGTTAGGTTGGGATAGAAACCAACAATATATCACCTGGTCCATAGACTAGTGTTTGATTTTCCAATAATTGGATTGCCAATCATTTATGAAACATTGGGCAGGTTAAAGTAACTTATCAAATACTTAGAGGATGTGATGTGCAATTCTCTTCCCTATAAATAAGAACACAGACAAAAAGGGATTCATTCAAAGAAGAATAATTAAGAATATGACAAACCTCATGATCTCTAGTAAAGTAGAAGCACTTCCTCCAACTTATGTATTACCAATGCATGAAAGGCCACTAGCTCCAGTTCCAATTGTCAAGGAAATTCCAGTAATTGATTTGGGCGAAGAACGAGCTGTTGTCGCTCAACAACTTGTGAAAGCTTTGGAACAATATGGCTTTTTTCAGGTTCGTAATTATTTCATGCAAATACTATTCCCTCTGTTTTAAAGAAAATGACATACTTTCTTTTTTAGTTTGTTTTAAGAAAAATGACTCATTTCCTCTTTTGACAATACTTTAATTACAGTTTCCACATGACATGTTTAAGCCACAAGATTAAATGATATTTTGGTACAATAGATATAACGTTAATCTAGGATCACAAGATTGATAAATCTTCTTTATTTTCTTAAACTCCGTGCCAAGTCAAACAAGATGAACTCAAACTGAGACGATAGAATAATGAAACAGGTAATTAATCACAGGGTACCAGAGGATTTAATGGATAAGGCAATGGAAGTCTACGAAGAATTTTTCAATTTGCCAGTGAAACAGAAAGAAAATTATGCAGAAAAAGCAGAAACACTCTATACCAACAATCCCAAGCATCATGCTTCAAAGGAGCATAAATACTGGAAGGAAGTCTTGGAACACAACTGCAATATTGATGGACAAGATAAACAAACTTGGCCTAGTAACCCTCCAACATTTAGGTAGCTAACTATTTCTCAATCTTAAATTAGTAGATGAAATGATAGCCAATTTGTAGATGGATTTTCGTGTGAAAGTTAAATATGAGAATGAACTTTCAGGGAGGTTATTGGTGCATATTCATCTGAAATTAGAAAGTTGAGCATGATAATCTTCGATTTGGTAAGCAAAGGACTAGGCTTGGAGGCAGGGTACTTTGGCAAAGGTCATGGGCAGAGAATGTTTGTCAATCACTATCCAATATGCCCAGATCCATGTTCAACTTTGGGAACTGGTGGACATTGTGATCCTAATCTTATAACCATTTGCCAACAACAAGTATATGGCCTTCAAATACTCAAGAATGATGAATGGATTGGTGTGGAACCTCTACCTCATGCATTTGTTGTCAATTTTGGTCTCCCAATAACGGTAACACTTCTTTTAACATTCATTTATGACATGATACATAAAGGTAAGATGCCCTTTAACTTGCTCATAATACAGGTAGTGACCAATGGAAAGTTGAAAAGTGTTGCACATCGAGTGGTGACAAATACAACTCAAGCACGTACCGCCATCGGTACTTATTTTTGTCTGGCAAATGTGGTTGAGCCAGCAAAATCATTTGTTGGTCCAGACAATCCGCCACTATTCAAACCCTTCAAATGGGGCACTGAGTTTTTGCCACATTACTTCAACAACAGAGCAGTATACCACGCAGCATTGGAAGCTTTCAAAATCAATGCTTAATAAGAGTTTTTAATTTCCACCCAAATAACATGAGAGAGTCTCTACTCATACTACTTTGAATTTCCACCAAAATAAGAGTTTTTAATTAATTTACAATTCCTATGTAATTTGTAACCTAGGTTTGAATCGAACTTGTTATTCATTCATGAATAAGAAGTTTTGATTCTTACCAATTTGTGTGTTGTATCTTGACTTATTATTGCCTCAATAATAAAATCTTTTTAGTACTTTCTTCATGTTAATTTATGCGGCGAAATTTTTAAACTGATTATCAAACATACATATAAAAATGAACTGTGGAGAATTCCGGAATCTCCTTAATTATGCAAGATATAATAATAAACAACAAACTTCTAACCTCCTAACCTCACGAAAGGACTCTGAACTCATCAAATTTTAGTTTGCTCACCTAGTCTCATCAAGGAAAGCTAATAAAATCAAATATATATATCATGAAACAAGCACCTTCACAAGAAGAAATAGTGCACACACTTAATTCAAAAGACTGAATATAAATTACGGACTTAGTATCGAAGAGCAACTCTCAAACTCACAAATAAAATTCACATGTATGCACAAAGAACTATATGGTTGTCCATTATGTATATCTCCACTAATTAAGCATGCTTGAATAAATCAAATAGAACTTTAAAGGTTGTAATGTAGGCTAGGGGACGGGTAGGAAAACTATATGATAGTTACTTAGACCTCCCTAAGCACTTCACACTTTTAGATTTCACCACCCATTATTTTCTTCTCTTTATTTTCATTCCTATGTTCAACAATTATCTCACAAGTAATTCTCATCATCTCAACAATGCTTCAATCATTTTATTATTCTTTTTTTGTTTTCTCAAAAAAAAAATTTCCACATCACATTCTTTCAAAGAGGGATTTTTTTCATCACTTTGTAGCTATCATTGATTACCTTTTTCACTCAACCATCCCCTTTCTTCAGATATAACAATTATAATAAGTCTATGCTAAAGTGCTCAAGGAAGAAAGGTGCAAAAACTAGGGATTCAACTAAATTGTTAAGGGCAAAATATGATTACCAATAAAAGGCCACAGGTTCGAAAGGTTAACAAGTGATATAATATCTGAAAAAGCTAAAATACAAGACAAATCAAAGAAAGCCTATTATCATCTCCTAAACAAAGTAACACTTTTTATTTCGCTTCAATAACATGCATGACAAGTTCTAGACTAAGATGCAAGCATGGAATAAACAAATTTTCACCCATGGAACAAGTATCAATAAAGATGGATCAATTCCACTTCTAAGAGATCCGTGATCATAACAAACTACAAAATAAAATAAGCTATTTACAAAGTCACAACCGTGAACCTAGGTGTCAGAGAGTTTGTAATTTCATTAGCAATCAAGTATTCATAAGAAAAAAACTATAAAAAAAAATTAGGCCCAAATAGCAAGTATCAAACAAATCAAAATGATTTTTTTCTTTTCTCTCCAAAAAAAGAAAAAAATTACTCCCTAAAATAAGTTACTTGGTTCAAAGGGACTATCCTCAGAAAAAGAATGGAAAACAAAAGTCGAGGAACCCATCCTAAAAAAAGACTCAATAAAAAAATAAAAAAACTAGAAATTCATTCCTCCATGCTATGTCCCCAAAGCATCAATTAAAATTTAAAACAAGGGTTAAGGAAAACTCCATGAGGCCTCTTGGCCTAGCTAGTAACATGTTTTGTCAATTTTCATCAAGGTCGTACGCACCCTATACTTAAGCTCAAATGTGTTCCTTTGCTTCAAATTTTTACGTACTCAAACTTCCTCTAATCTGCAAAATAAAAAAGCAACACAAAAAATGACACACAAAAAAAAGAAGCTAAACTATAAATTGGGTTGCTTCCCAATAAGCGCCTAATTTACTGTCGCGGTACGACACAAGTAAATTCACCACTTTTCTTTCCACTTTGAACTTATGAATTGTACTTCTAACTTTGTATCCATTTTTTTGCTCCTATCAAGGAGTGGTGGTATAAAGATAAAGAAGCGAAGTAATGGATGATGCATGTAAGATTGCTTGGCTCTGAAGTGATGCATGTTATTTTGTCTCTTTTTGGGTGCAACGTTAAGAATGTAGAATTCTTATTCCTCCAACTTATCCATTAGCTCAGATGACTTGAAAGCTATATCAACATCTAAACATAATGTTGAAAAATGATTTAAATGGGGTATGATACGTCCCTTCTCCAAACTTACACCAAATGCAACAAGCTCACTTTTATACTCCTCAAACGTGGCATTTCAAGAAAAATATGATTGCATTATATCTCCTCCTGTTTTAGATCCTCAATTTGACTTCTGAGTGCCTTTTTCAGTATCACAAAATTCATAATTGAATTGTTGAGCGTCAAACGCAACAATCTTTGCATTCAATTCATTGCTTAAGTTCTGAATATGCAAGACAAACATGTCAACCTCTTGCATGCGCTTTATTTTTTCTATCTACAACGTATGACATCCCATATATGATTCTCCTAAAGTGCTCTACATATTCCTCTACTAATTTTCTACAAGAATCCATATATCAAAGGAACAAAGATTATTAGAATCTTCATGAGAGGGTTTCAGAGCAGGGTAGCAACACACGGTACAATCGAACCACAGACCACCACATAATTCACAAGATAGAGATGGTGCACACAACTCTCCTACGGGAATATATTGACATTGTTGTCAAAAGTGGGCTCTTTTGCAATAAGGACAAGGTCTCATCAAACATGAATATTCATCATTCCACACTATTTTTTGCGAAGGCAGAAAAAATATATGTACCGAAAAAAAGAAAAAACTTAAATAAATAAAAATAAAAAGTATAACCTAGAAGAATGGTTAATTTCTAACTCCCCGGCAACAGCGTCAAAAACTTGTTGCTCCCAATTGCACAACAAAGTGTACGTGGCTACGCAAGTAATATAGTGGCTCTAAAAGAGCCGGATTATCAAACTCAAAGGAATTTTCGATTAACTATGTTACTAAATCATTCTAGTATAATTTTTTTGATGATGACAAGGGAAACCTGGAGCCGCTACCCTTTGGGTGCGCATAGGGTAAACCCCACTCCTATGCAATAGCTCGCAAACCACATAGGAGAGGTAACTCGCACTAGGCAAGTCCGGTGCGACGAGCTCGACCCAGAAGGCAAATCCCTTGCTTTCGCTGGCAAGGGATTTCGAACTTGAGACCTCCAACATGGAAGTCCCAAGCCCAAACCACTGGGCCACCCCGAAGGGCCATACTAGTCTAATTATTTATTCAAGCGTGCTAAAAGAGTCTAATTTATATTTATATATAAAATAATGCAATGATTAAATAATTAGATTAATTTACAATGTTTGGGACAATTCCAAGGTTGCAGCATACTAAGAATTCATGTATCAAATCTCTTTCATGGATTTCATACAATTATCAAATCATTGATTTACAGGGTTGATATTATAATCATGATCTCTCGACCTCTAACCGCTTACCCCAGTTGGCCGTCTAACCACATAGTTAATCGGGGATAGACAGACTCAACTGACAAGCATTTATATTTCATCATGTTTCGTAACCAAGCATGGTGTTTCTCCGAGTGTCAATCTCGAACACGAATCTGAACAAGAGGTATGCAAGAGGGATCGCCCTCCTTATATTCTCTCCTCTATCTACCTCTCCGTTTATCGAGTTCAAGAATTGACATTAAATTTATTTCTATGGTGATGAAGCATGAAATACTAAAACAAGAATATAAGAATAATTTATACGATAATCAATATTCACCCAAACGAAATCAATATTCAACAATCATTCGCAGCCGCAATCCCAGAACAAGGTTCTTTAGCTACTAATGTCTAAAAAAAAGAAGAAAACGAAAAGAACCCAAAAAGTATAATGACTTTTCCCTACACAGTATATCGTTTTTAATAATTATTCTCATGGGCTATTTATAGATGTAAAAAACTCTAAATAAAATAATTAAGTCCAAAACAAACTAGAACCCAAAACCAAGAGAATTTGGGTTCCGCTTGAAGTGTGCATCGACTTCAATTGTTGATGTTGCCTTCAAATTCTGACACCTGGCCCAGCAGGTAAGCGTTCCATTTGCAATTCTAATTCTTTCTTTCAACTGCACTTCATATGTTTCTATATATTATATTCAATTTAATCCATTAAGTTGTCTAGTTTATTTCCTTCTATTATTTTTCTTGTTTTATTCGTTTTAGCTTCAAATTTTATCACATTACACCAATTTACTCCTACAAATGAACTACACTATTTAGCACAATCCATAACATTCATGCTCAAAAAGGATAAATAAAAATACTAAGTGTGAGACAAATAATAATTAAAAATATTTATGTTTGGCCTCACATTAGGAATTTCATATGGTGGTTGACTGCAAATCCTTGGATCAAGACGTGTTCTTTGATACCATGAAAGGAGGTTGAAGAACGATTTGCATAAATTTTCCACCGATTATATTCATACATTCATGAATATTTATATAATTGTTTTATTGTCATGACCCGATTTCTCGACTCATGATGGCGCCTACTATAACCCACCAATAAGCAAGCTAACCCGTATCCTGAAACTACAAGCAATGGGATTGAGGGCAGAAAACTAAAAAACCTAGAAGTCACATGTACAGAGCTATTAACAAAATGAGTACAAGTCCCAAAAGTGGACCACGGAAAAAAGACTGTCTTAAAAAGCAAAAGACAAGTCAATATATATAGATGGAGACTAGTATAGCACAAAACGCCAAGTGCTCACCCCCGTCTCCGGATCATACTGTTGCAGGCACGATGTCAACACTGGTAGTTCGTGCTCGGACCTACCTCACGAAAATAGATGCAAAGTGTAGTATGAGTAACAAAACAACAGGTACCCAGTAGGCCTCATAGGCCGACTGAGCAAGAAAAGCAAAAGTAATATGAAATGTGAGAATCTAAAACACTACCAGAAACAAGAATGAGTAATCTAACAAGTATGCACACGAGTGTACTAACACACAAAAAACAGGAGAATAACCAACTATATTCGACCGGGCTCCCATAAACCCAACGAATACACTCGTGCACAAGCTAAAAGTAAAACCCGAATGGACTCC